ATATTGTAATTCACTTTCAGCTGTTTTTAATGAGTTTTATATGAAAACAGTTAAAAAACAATTGCAGTATCTGCAGTTGAAAAGACTCATTTATTAACACAACCTTATATATATTGTAACCACCACCAATACAGTAATTGTTCTTTTCAAAGGAAAAGGAAACCATGAAACCCTTTAAAAAGCTATATCAAGTTGTAATTCTATATTCTGCCTCATTACATGTTACTGTCTGTAAAGGAGAAACAACTGAAACAGTCATTGTACAAAGTTTTTGAATTATTCCTACTTTCTTATGGATCAAGTTGTCTCTTTGTTTGTTTTTGTTCTTTCATTTTTGTGAGACTAAGTTGTGGTTGACTGGCCTCCTCACCCACTGAGAAAACTTTTAGTTTAAGAAAGTATTCTAGGAAAACAATGATGCTTAATTAGAAAGGACAGGATGTTTATTTGCATTACGTCCCCAGCGTGCGATTGAAGCTCATTACACAGCAGCAGTTCACTTAGAAATCTGCTAAGTGAAGCATCAAAATGAGTCAAAAAAGTAAAACTATCATATGACAAATTAACAGTTCTTGTTCTAAACACAACAACCCTCAGCATGAGTCAGCAGCTCCACCTGCTTTTACAGAATATGCCTTGAATTGCACATTTCAACACTCATAGTTTTTCCGGGAAGAAGTATAATAGACTCACATCGTTGGAAAACAATTGAACTAATTGTTAAGGTGGACCCTTTTCTTGCTGTGTGCAGCTGGAATCTGACCCCTGGTGTAAACACAGAACAGGAATAGCGATGTGGGCAGAGCTCGTCCTCCTCTCCTCAGTTATCTCTTTTGTTCATGGGATGCGTGACAGCTGCTGCGGCGCTGCTGTGATGAAGATAAACAGTTTCTGGCAGGAGCTCAGACGTGGTCTGTCGGATTCTGAGGAGACCCGAATGTGTGTCAGCTGTTACAAGCCCCGTCACTCATGCAATAATAGCGGCTACCAATCTGCCTTCATAAGCATTTTCCTTTCTCTCTCCAGCCTCTCTTTCACTCTGTCCTGCTCTGACTTCTTCTCATGTAAAAAAGCTTGATGTATTTTAAAAGAGTGTTTTATAATAATACCTCTTGTCAAATACCTCGAGTCCAATGGAGGCGTTTCAGTCAGGGGGGGAGTGTATGGGAGAGAAACTCCCTCTGGAGGGAACAAAGGGATTTCAGCTTTTGCAGACCATTTACATGCATATTAACACCCTACAGAAAATGGAACCCCCAAAAGGGCCTCAATAAAAACATTTGTATACACCTGTCCCTCCTGTAGACGCTTGTACCTGTCAGTTTGTACAAATATACACACTTGGATGTAATTGAATGTTGAAGCAGGTAGATTTGGTTATGTCGGTCACAGCAGTCCTGTTCATTCAGCCAGCGGCTCGATCCAGCCGAGTCATCACAGAGAAGTCAGCTGTTTAAATCTCAACAGACGCGTTAGGATCAGGTTAGGATGCAAAAAGGCTGGGAAGCAAAGCCAGATGATAAATATTTGGTGATATTTACGGGTGCTCAGCTCCTTTAAAGTGGACCAATGCTATATTGGAAAAATATATTGTAGGACCATACCTATAAAAAAAACATGTCTGTGAAGTTTTTGCTTAAAATACCAAACAGATCACCCATTGTAGCCATGCCTCATACTGTTCATACCTCCCCTGTTAGAGAAATGCGGGTTTTGGGTCCTTAGCTTGAAGAAAAAAAAAAGAGGAGGCGGAGCTAATGCCTGATCAGAATTCTACCGGAGATTACGGCCCATTCCGAGTCACGCTGTGTGTGTCCGTCAGGAAACACGCTGTTTACAATAGTTCCAGCAAACATCCACTGATAAACTGATATGTTTTAACTTAGGATCGATCATACCTGTGTTTAGTCTAGAAAAAGGTAAATGTGTGCATTTTATTATAAAGTTGTGTATATTTACAGACTGTTGGAATAACTAAGAAGCTTATAAACATCAGGTTTAAAACTAAAAGAGCTTTGCAAAAAAGTAACACAATGAAATATGTTTAGAGTTTTATTTGAGTTATTAATTTACATTTTTTTGTCCAAGAGATGCTGATTTGAAACCGTTGTTACATACAGTTACGGCATTTCCTGTTTCTGCCGGAGAGAGGGGAGTCCGTCCCAAAGCTTGCTGCTGTATTTACTCCCTCCATCTGACAGGAGGGAGCCTCGTTGAGCTGCGAGTGTGGCTACAGACAGAGTTCACTCCGTCACGGAGGGGTAGGGTCGAGGGAGTGGTTTGGGATTGGGCCAAAGTTAAATTCTGCAGTGATAAAACGCCATCCTGTTCTAAACCACATCAAAGATTATTTCTGAAACAGTAGGAGCTCAAATGCTTTTTCTCTTGCGGGTTTATCACAAGATGAGTTCCTTTTTTTATTTCCTGCTTTTTAAACACATGTGCTCTCCAGTACAGGTTAGCTCTGAGTGTTAGTGAGGCTTGCTAATGTAAACAAAGACGACATTACGTCCAAAACACATCAGGCATTGTTTCTGATAGCAACTTTCTGTGGGTCCGCTGCCGATTTGACGTCAGATCGGCAGCAAATCTGTATCCGCTCGAGGAAAAGAGAAAGGGTTTTATTTTCTGATGCTGCGTGAGTTCCCCGGCACACCGGGGACACATATTTATGTATACAATACTGTACATCAATAAGTGCATTTTGCATGATAAGTTATTGGCCATTTAGAGTTCTTGAGGGGTCTGTTCTGTCCACGATCGCTTGAAATACAGAGACTCTAAACAAAAAGTGCTTCAGGCTTTAAAACTGTCTGTGGTTTAACTCAGTGTGTTGTTAATCATTGAATGTTTACCTGTTTGCAATTTGACACCACAGTCACTGGCTTGTTTTAAATCTAAATGCGAATTTAATTACAATCGATAAAAAGATGCAGTATGTAACTGCCAAAAACAAGCTTGGCGTACTTGAGTCGCTCTACCTGTCAGTCTCTCTCATCCATCCATCTGTATCCTAAAAGAGTTACAACCAGAACAGGATTTTTATTGGCCATTAGTGGCAGTGAGTCAATTTTATAGACTTGATTTCCCAGAGTTCTTAAAAATAGACAGATTTAAACACACACTCATTGGACAAAACGGTTGTCCTTGTTTAACTACTCCGGAGCTTTTAAGATTGGTTTAGTCTCTAAATCTAATGCATCTCAAATAACAGAGACATAATGTGTTTCAGGGGAAATGAGTGTAGGCTTTACATAACAAAGCAAAGGCAACATATTTATTGAGATAAGTAGTTAATTGATCACAAGATGCGTCAGTGTAATTGAAGCGTACATTATTTATCCCAAACAATATTACATCTTCAATAAAGAATATATTTGCAGGATAGGATTTGTTTCTTCTTCTTTTAGAGACAAGGTGGTAAAGACTTTTGAGAGATCTTTTTTCTGGAGTATGCCAGAAGTTTGAAAACATGACTTTATTTCAGATCTGCAGTGTCTCATGGAAAAGACGCCACAGTTTTTATACCTAAGACTCTTGTTTTCCATTCTTGCTACAACAGAATAAAGTAGTGAAAATAGATGTGTACATGGTCCTAAAGGGAGTAGACATTAGGCCCTCACCTCCATGAGCATCACGCCTTTTAGTTTTAGCTGGAGACTTAAATAGAGAGAATGATGAGATGAAACAGCACAGTGTGAGGCAGCAGGCGGTGTTTCACAGCAAACCTCCATTCACCAGAGCTCCTATTACGTCCTGTGAACGAGCGCCTCTTCTCTTTACTGCTTCCCAGAGGCTGTTTAACGCCTCTCCACCTTTCTAAAAGATATACAGTGGGGCAAAAAAATTATTTAGTCAGCCACCAATTGTGCAAGTTCTCCCACTTAAAAAGATGAGAGAGGCCTGTAATTTTCATCCTAGGTATACCTCAACTATGAGAGACAAAATGAGAAGAAAAAAATCCAGAAAATCACATTGTCTGATTTTTAAAGAATTTATTTGCAAATTATGGTGGAAAATAAGTATTTGGTCAAAAACAAAAGTTCATCTCAATACTTTGTTGTATACCCTTTGTTGGCAATGACAGAGGTCAAACGTTTTCTGTAAGTCTTCACAAGGTTTTCACACACTGTTGCTGGTATTTTGGCCCATTCCTCCATGCAGATCTCCTCTAGAGCAGTGATGTTTTGGGGCTGTCGCTGGGCAACACAGACTTTCAACTCCCTCCAAAGATTTTCTATGGGGTTGAGATCTGGAGACTGGCTAGGCCACTCCAGGACCTTGAAATGCTTCTTAAGAAGCCACTCCTTCGTTGCCCGGGCGGTGTGTTGGGGATCATTGTCATGCTGAAAGACCCAGCCACGTTTCATCTTCAATGCCCTTGCTGATGGAAGGAGGTTGTCACTCGAAATCTCATGATACATGGCCCCATTCATTCTTTCCTTTACACGGATCAGTCGTCCTGGTCCCTTTGCAGAAAAACAGCTCCAAAGCATGATGTTTCCACCCCCATGTTTCACAGTAGGTATGGTGTTCTTTCTCCTCCAACTCAGCATTCTTTCTCCTCCAAACAAGTCTAGTTGAGTTTTTACCAAAAAGTTATATTTTGGTTTCATCTGACCATATGAAATTCTCCCAATCCTCTTCTGGATCATCTAAATCAGGGGTGTCCAAACTTTTTTCACCGAGGGCCACATACAGAGAAATATACGAAGGGCTGGGCCACTCACCAGAGGTANGCCAATTGTGCAAGTTCTCCCACTTAAAAAGATGAGAGGCCTGTAATTGTTGGATTTTTTTTCTCATTTTGTCTCTCACAGTTGAGGTATACCTAGGATGACAATTACAGGCCTCTCATCTTTTTAAGTGGGAGAACTTGCACAATTGGCGGCTGACTAAATACTTTTTGTGCCCCACTGTGTGTGTGTGTGTGCGTGCGTGCGTGCGTGCGTGCGTGCGTGTGTGCGTGTGTGTGTGTGTGTGTGTACAAGGTAACTTACCCTCTTGCGCAGGTTGCAGGTGAGGATGAGGTTGCGGGAGAAGGAGTTTGCAAAAGCGGTGTAAAACTCCAGCACTTTGAGCAAGGCTTCCCTCCTGATGACGTGGAGGTCGCAGTACGTTAGCGCTCGGACGTTAGCGCACGCGTGGGCCAGGTTGGTTTCCTTCCAGAAGACGTCTCCAAACACGTCGCCTTTACCTGCAGACAAAAGAGTTTTCAATATTGACACATCAAATGTGTACAAAAGGTGACACCTCAAAACTCACTAGGGCATTCCATTTAATTAGTAACATCTTTAATACTGTAGATTTAATACGGTATGTGAAGCCGACTTGATGCTTCAATTAATCTATTAGTCAATTGACAAAAACATAGTTCAGGTAATTCAATTGTGATGCTTTTTCTTTTTCTTATGCAACAGTTTAAGAGATATCTTTAGTCTTTAAAAGTTTTAGGAATTTGATGATGGATGGTGATGGATAGTTTTTACAGTTTCCTGATATCTAGATATCTATAGATCTACTGATAGTGCAATATCAAACTATCAACTAACTATCAATGGCTTACCCAATAAAAATAACATAGCCAGGCATCAACTAAAAGACAGAAAAAATGCAAATAATTGCAGTAGGATTTCAGGGTTAGTGGATATAAAGCCTGTCAAATTTCCTCTGTCATTGTGTCTAGCTCTCTGAGCAACACTTCAAACAGTTCTGAAGACCATATTTTTAAACCTTAACGACATGTTAGTTCTCATGTATTGTGACAGCTATAAGACCACACAGGAAAACATTAAACAGGAGAAGTGACGGTACATTGGCTTTGATGTGCTAATTGAGAGAGAAAGTCTGAGAAAACAAATAAAATATATATTTTAGGAGGCTGTTGTGGAAGGAAAAAAGGAGAGTGACATCCTCTGTTCATCAGATCATATTGATTGTCAACTTGTTGTGTATTGTTAGAGTTTTATGAATAAGGGCGAAAGAAGACAGTTCAGGGGACATTAAAGTGTCCCTATTTTTGCTTTAAGGGATTTCCCCTTTCCTGTAGTGTGTTATTTAGGTTTTTGTGCATGGTCTGCAAAGGCTAAAATCCCAAAGTTCCCTCCAGAGTTTCTCCATGGCTTTTACCATAAACCATTTCCCTCTCTACACAGAGCACACCTACTTTCTTTTTCTGTCCATGGCAACAGTTTTACCTGACAAGGTGCTTAGCAACCAGAGCTGCTGATTCCACCATGCACATGTACCTGATACCAAGAATAACATGTACAGTGATTCCTATAATTAACAATCCTACATAATCAGAGTGGAATGAAAAAGAGAAAAATGAAAATACTCTTTTAGAACTCAGAGCAAATTGATGTTGAATCCTAGACTGTTAGTGAATGCTGTGATCAAAAAGTGTAATATATTTCCAAGAGACCGAGGATAAAAAGGGACAATTAAAACCTTTCCTTCTCAACTTGACATTTAAAGTTATGTTTGCACTTTCTTCCCTTCGATCAAACAAGTGTGTGCTTCACATGCTGGTGGTTATGGTGAACATAACAAATATTTTGCAAAAGGAGGTTGTTATTTTCTTGCAAAAATGAACTGAAATGTAGTGCAGTGTGTAGCACTGATCCTTCTTAAATGTATTTACTTTGCCCTCATTGGCTTCAACCCAACCGCAGCCACCTGGACCCTTGACTTATCAACTGCCAGCATAAATTATTTATGCTAATCAGCCGCAGCAGATGACCGGGTGTGTTTACACTTGTTAGCGTCTCCTGGGCAACGACAAAGTTGTCCCTACAATAATGAGGGGAAGAGGAATCATAAGTACACGCAGCCTCAGATGTGTCAAATGTCATCAAAAGCTGTGAAAAATAAACTAATCCTCGAACTTTTAAAATAAACAATGACTACTTACAGGAAATGATTATCCTGTATAACACATTTATTATGCCTATTACAACTCCCTACACTAAGCTTTGATCTATCACTAAATCTGTTTTAATTTTGATTTATTTTAAACATAAGTAAAATAATATTTTGCGACGTTTTTTTAAATTTAAATTCATGTATAGATATATATGGAAGTATAAGTCAAAAACAAATAATATTTTTGTACTTTTATATAGTGATTATAATGCATCATACATTTTTTATTTATTACAACAATTAGAATTAAGATACACACTATGATACTTGCAAAAATAAAATTCAAGCAACAATGAGGTAGGATACTGGACATTTTTAGTCGTTTTAAAATACTAAGTTGTGTTAGGATTGTTCTTATGAAGCATTATGAATTTTTATATCTTACTCATAGCTATAATAATACTGACTACTGTATTAGTCAAATATAACACACCAATACACACAAATATAAATGGTATGTATTATAGACATGGCTGCCATAGAAAGTGTTCCCAAAGTTTTTGTTCAGTAGTAAACAGAATATGAGATGCAGTAACAGCAGGAAAGAAAAGTGAATGCGGGCTAATCACATTTCAAATCTGTGTCGAACCTGCCACAGCCATCCGCTCAGCATTTCTCTGAGCTGTCCCAGATACGATGTGACAAAAACGAGTCCACAATGTCCTGGAGCTGTCACAACACCCTGAGTAATAGACGTATCCAGCATGCCGTCGCAAAATGCAGACAGAGTGTGTGTGTCACTGCGAGTATGATCCTGACAGTCCTTCCTCCGCGCACCCCGAGGGCCATTTTCTCTCCGAAACATCCAACATTGACTCGTCTGGAATGAGCTCCCCAGAGATCTGCAGCTCCTCGCCAATTATCCGTGTTGATGCAGACGCGGTCACAAGGGGCCAGGGGGGCGATGGAAAGTGTGTGCAGTGTGACACTTACAACGGGGTTCAATGTCACAATGACGACTGTTACTATAGGGTGGGTGGAGATGGATATATCGGTGATGTGACCCCTGTCAACAGGCTTTGTAATGCTGCTATTACTCACCCACAACCAACATCATTGCTCATAATATTCTGCAAGACTGCTTACAGGGATAGTGAAGTACAGAAATGCCCTTGTACACTCTGTTACGTACTACAGTAGCAGCTAGTATATTTAAGGTGTATATTTGGTTTATCGCCTTAGTTCAGAAAATTAAAGCTTAACTTCTTTACTTGAACGTGCTTCTACGTAGCAAAATAGAAGGGGAAGATACCTAGAATTATCTCTTAAAATAGGTTGTTAATTGTCTTTCAATGGTTAATTACTTTCAAGCACACCGGTTTCTTCCATATAAACATGGGAAAGTATTTAATGTATATAGATATCCAGTATGTGTGCATGCAAGAGGTATTGTTTGCATGTGCACACAATGTCCTTTTCAATTATATGTTTTAAATATTATTTCACATGTTTCTGACACTGTATACGTCATGAGCCCATGCTGACGCAGATAAAACAGCAGATGTAAATTCTTCCAGACCTCATTCACTGCAAAAGGATGGTCTAATCTCACCCCCGATCACACTGTGTAGTATTCCTTTGATCCCATTGGAATCTCGCAGTGTAGTCCCTTGTGAAGTTTTAACAACATACAGTATGGGCAGTCTAATGTGATACTAGATCAGATGTTTCTATATCGTTTGAACATAAACAAACAAATTGAATAAAGAAGGGGGACATGAGGTCTATAATCTTCTACCTCTGTGATTATTCATAAACTGTGGGTGTTTCTCAACCGCGAGTACGCTTGCTTGGTAGCACATGTCTGCCGAGCATCTTGCTTCAGAAACTAGGAAAGAATCCTTCCTGGCATTCGGAAAACGAAGAGTGGAACAGGCTAGCAAGTGTGCAGGTGTGCGTCATATGAGAGGCCCCGCTTTACATTTTCCGCCACAGATTTTGGGAAATTGGTGCGTGCGCAAAGCATTGTGGGGATTTGAAGGACGCAAAGTCTACCCATGTGCAGCCTCGAAATTACCCCCAAACCAAGGACGCAGCCTCGTGGAATTCCAAGTATGCTGGAGATTGGAATAGTCCTTCGGCGGCACTCGATGACGTAGTATCCTTGAAATATTGGCTTGGAAGCCAGTGTCCTCGAGATTGAGAAACGGCCTGTAAGTCTAAAAGATCCTTCCAAAAACTCTCCCCCCTTCCTGAAACGCCTTCATTGGACTCCTTTGTTTACTTTCGTTACACTCGCTCTTCTATTGGCCTGAGCATCAACACATTGTACGTCATAGGCTAAGAAACAGGACTATAAACGGCTGACCTATGACAACAGAGCCGATCAGCTAACCAATCAGAGCAGACTGGGCCCTGGTTTCAGACAGATGGTGAAAAGAGGTGCTGCAGCACAGGCAGTAAAAGAAAAATAAAGAGCTGTCTGAACATGAAAGCATGGAGACATGTCCCAGTAGAGACACACAATACAATTATGAACATGAGCAGAATATGTCCTCTTTAAAATTAAATCAGGTGGACATATATTTGTCAACATGAGGATCAACTCGCAGCTAACATCGTGACAAATGTGTAGCTGGCACTGAATGCTGCTTGTGGTTGTGTCCACCATCAGCAGAAAAAGAAATTGCCTGAGGGCAGGAGGGCAGGGAGTGGACCCTCGTATTGCAGCTCACCGCGCATCGGGCAAGCAATCTCGGCTGATTCTCTGAGCCGGTGTGCTGATGCCTCCGTGCCCCACTCAGGCCATTATCTCTGAAACCTGAGTGGGTGCAGACAGTCAATCAGCTGCTGTGACACTGATCCCCCAACAGCAGCATTCATGGTCATTATTGTATGAAAATTATTAGCATTTAACACACTCAGGTCCTTCCAGACTCAGCCCAGATGTTGTTCCTGCTACAGATAAATAGTTATGATGCAATATTTCTGACATTGTTTAAATTGTTCCAGTTTTAGACGATGAATAATTATACTCAATACGTTCATTGTAGAAAAAAGTATTAAGTAAGTTAAAGTGGACCTATCATGCTATTTTTAGGCAATAAAGCAGAGAGAGGGTTTTATTTTCTGACACTTTGTGAGTTCCCTGACACACCGGGGACACATATTTATGTATAAAAGACATCCAAAAGTGCTTTTTGTATGATAGGTCCCCTTTAAATGACTTCATTCTGTTCCCCACAAGAGGAACTTGTGTCTAAAAATCCCAACATGATCAGTGTGATATTAATCATAACCACTTGTGCTAATGAGACCATTCATTAAGATAACTGATGTATTAATTATGCAGCAACTTCAATTTTTTGCAACATATGGGAAGTGTTTCTCTCGGGATAAATAAACATATTTCTTATATGAGCTTCTGTGGAAATGACTTGTGCCTTTACAAAGATACAGTTTGAGTCATGCACATTCTGTAGATGTATAAGGCAGTTGGTTGCAGTTTGAACAAAATAAACAATAACTACAAAGACAGGCTTCCATCCTAAAATTCAACTACCTTTATTATCATCCAAGCACCAGGAGTCAAACTAACTGCATGAATAAAAACACAATGAAATCTTAAATATTCATTCAAAGACAAAAGAGACACTTTCTCCAGACAAGACTCAACTTTAAGGGAATATCTTTTTGCCGTTTAGCATGAAAGCAACCACCTTTAATACATTTAAAAAATGCAGTCAAATTTAAAACAATTTCGAGACAAAGAATGCCAAGACAATGCATCTGGGGTCCATCTACATAAATACGAGATGGTTTGTGCTCAGGCTTCATTTGCACAACCCAACAAGGATTGTGTGTGTTAGAAAAATATCACTCGTCACCGGCTTGAGCTTCAATATCAGGATACATGTATTTACTATCCTTGCAAGAATGGAAGTAGTCATCACATACAGCATATGGAACAACTAGTTCCTGAACAGTGTCCTTCACATGCTTATATGCAAGAGAGGATGTTACACAGTCACAAGATGCAGGAATACCGGTTCAAAGCAGTATACAATATTTTGTTCAGATTAGCTAAAACCCACGTCAGAAATGATCATGATTGTCATATGTTTATCTCCATAGAGGCTGAATCATCATGTTAACCTGTTGAACCCCATCCTTGTTTTTCAGGTCTCAGGCTCGAAAATGAAATTTCCAGAACAAATGACCATAACTACACTTTAAAAGGGGAAAATTAATAATATTTTTTCTCAAAGTAATGATAAACCTGTGAGTTGGATGTAGAAAAGTCAGAATCAACATAAATGTTTTTTATTTTAAAGAAAATTCAGATTGAACATAGTAAAAAACTGTAAATGTTAGTGTCCGTCCAAAGATTATTTTCTTATAGTGAAAACCACCCTTGAATGATGGGATGGTAGACTAAAAGCTTTAGGAATTCAAAGAACAACATATAATAAGTACCCTGTATCAAGATTGATGCAAAATAAGTGACATTTGAGATTTTAAAGAGGTTTAGCAAAAATAACTCCACCTCTGGGGTGATTTGGGTGGAAATAGGCGTGTTTGCCATTTCTCTGAAACCCATTGGTCGATTTTGGTGATTGACATCTCTTTTTAACCGTTAGAGCCAATAGAATCGAAGGGGGATTTCCACGTACACACGTTAACAAAAAAAAGTGTCGGCTTGGCGCACGCAGTTTTGGCCAGAGCGAACCTATCTCTCGCTCTGAAAAGTTAGTTTATTGCTTATGGATTATCAGAAATCCTTTCAAAGGGGACACAGTACCATTGGAGTTAAACCTATGGATTAACTTCAGCAGGTTTTTTTTTCGTTTTAATGCCATTGAGACCACTTTGACCGACAAACAACAAAGGTAAGCCATTTTGCGTTTTAGCCCTACCTAGCCGCCACATATTTTGATGGTCGGTTTGTTTATTAAAGTGGAGTTCTTTCATGGAGTGTAATGTAGGGGTCCGATTGATTCTGCTTGTCTGCTCACGTTGCTAATCGATGGGGTTGATGTTGCGCTACGATAATAATAAGGGTTTGTTATGAGTGAGGTTTCTGTGCAGATGCGGTGGGAGCTTTTCTTTGCTTCGTGGGCTAATTTAGAAGGCTCAGCGCTTAGCTTTGTTGGGTTTTTTGAAAAAAAAAGATCGGTGCTTTGAGTTTCTTCCCGTTACATGGCACACCAGTCCCTCACCCCATGAACGTCTAGGAGCGACCGCTTGGCCAAGTCCTTTGGCGTGCAATTGTTGACGGCCTAGTGTCCTTCAGCTTCATAACGGAGCAATTGGTTCTTACTGTTGCAATGTATTCCCAATTAAGTGGAGTTATTGACGCTCAGGGAAGCATTCGGCGATCGGTCCATGTCGGTAGCATTTGAAAGGC